CCTGCTTGTCAGGTGGGAGGTGGCTGCAAGGAAGGACATAGCACAGGGTCTCAGGGAAAGAGGCATTGTTCTGCCAGGAGGGCAGCAGGGAGCCAGTTTCCACAGGCCAGATGTCTAGGGAACCAACCTGTCCCTACCTCCTCCTCTGGGTCCCAGGGCCAGGGTGGAGGACATGAGGCAGGAGCCAGACCTGGCCCAGTGCCCACTGGTTCAGCATGGTGGCCCATCAGCTGAGCCCTTGCAGGGTGCTGGGGCAGCACGTGCTTCAGCGGAAGGGCCCCGGCCTCCCTCACCCAGTGCTGGGTAGTGCATGCTGTGGGTGAGGAGCTCCAGGACAGATGGGCCCTTGAGGACACAGCTGCGGGGCTCCTAGTCCAGTGTTCCTCCCTCTTTAGGGAGACCAGGGCCATCATACCTCCAAGGCCACCCTGGGGCAGCAACTCTGGGTGAGTAAGGTGTGGGTTGATGCTGAAGGGCACCCCAACAGTCACACCATCCTTTCCAGCACCTTACCCTGTCAGCAGGTGCATCTGGATCAGGGTGCCCTGCACCATTTCATGAGCACAGGACACAGAGGCTGGGAAGAAAGGCTTGGGGACAAGAGCAGCAGCATGATGGGTACATTGCCAGTGAATCAGCTGTGGCCAGCAGGGCAGGGGGGTTCATTAACCATTGCCAAGAGTCAGAAAAAAATGGGGTGTTACAGGGTTGGGGCCTTCTGGGGAACAGAGGCAGTGCAAAGGGCCCCCTTCAAACCTTTATTATTGCGATCAAGTTGGAAAGATTTCAGTCATGTCACTCAGAGTAGCTGGAATGAGTTTATTAGAAGAGATAGGAAAAGGGAAAAGAGGGTCTCCAGAGAGAAAATGGGTCCTTTTAGAGAGGAGAGGGACAGCAGGCCTCTCCTGCCCTCCAGTTTTATTGGGGATCCCAGAGAAGTTTCTAGAGAGTCCTGCCTAGGTCTACCTTTTGACTTTTGACTGAGAGAACAATGACACCTGACTTTCAAGTCTCCACTGCCATGACAACCCTAGGTCACTTTGGCTCATGCTGACTGGTTCTGTTTCTTTGGTACTGGGGATTGAACCCAGGTCCTTGTGCAAGCGAGACAAACACTCTACTAACTGAGCTCTATCCCTGGCCACTGACTGTTCCAGTTGGATTCTTAAACATATATTCTTACAGATTTTTTTATGTTTAAGAGGAATTATCCTTATCTCCCTAAGTTCCTGGATCTGGTCTGTGAAAAGAGTCACAAAAGCCTCCTCCCCCTTCAGGGTAACTTAGGTTCCTCTTATCAACCTTATTTCAGGTCCGTATTTCTCCTGCAGTTAATAGGTTGCTGAGGAATGTGACATAGCTTGTCCACTTAAGCCAGCCAGGGTTGTAGGTAAATTGCTTCTTGGAAAAGAAAGCGTGTGAGCGTCAGCACAGTGGGCCCAGTTTATAGAATTATTCCCTGTGTTTCCACCTCTTGCATCTATCTGTCCCCTATCAGGGTGACCATCCCACCAGACTCTGCAGGAGTTAAACATATCAGAGAGAGAGTCACAGACTGGCACAGATGAGGGAGCTGCATTTGAAAAGTGAAAGGATGGTGAATCCAGACTGAACGGGGCTGGGATAAGCATGACAGGGCCTTCACACACACCATGTCCTTCCTGTACCTGCCTGCAGCCACATTAGCCATTCACCTGTCCTGAATCCTTCCTGACACAGGGCTAGGCTGACCTAAAATGTTTCTTTCAAGGCCTTGACTTTTAGCAGCTTTGGTGAGCTCTGCCTGGTCACCCTCTGAGCTAGCCTTGCACACACCCTCTTCTCAGAGAAGCCATCCAGTAGCAAGGCAGGAGGCAGATGGACAGTCATCTTGGTTGCATGGCATGGGAACTCCACGTGCCCTGGATGACTGTCTGTCTACTACCTGCTATGCTGCTGGAAGGCTTCCTGTGCCATTGTGGTTCTTGGATATACCCGGCACAGCTCATGAATATTTACCGAATGAATGAATGAACAGTCCCTGGGAGGTAGGCCAGACCTAACCAGTGACAGAGACCAGGAGTCCATTTCAGTTTGACATAGAGGGAGGTGTCCAACCAACCACACCGTCAGCCAAGGAGGCCTCTCTGGAGAGATGCAGTAAGGCTGGACCCCACCAGTCAGAAATGGGGAGAGAGCGCATCCCTGGGGTTGGTTTGATCCCTTAGACCTGCCTCTTTCCTCTGTGGGAAGCTGCAGGTGTGATTTTCCACCTTCCTCAAAGCCATCAGGGGCTTTTTTCTCATTCCTGCAGCATTTGGTGGAGGCTCTTGATCTCAGTTGCTATGAGAAGGGACACCTAGAATCTCCTGGTGGCTTGGGAGAGGGAACTCAAGGCCCCAGCACTACCCAGCCAGGAACTTTGGTCGGGACTAGGTAATTTGCACATGTCTCCCCCTGAGCTCCTGCTCAGCAGCACCTCCCAACTTTGTTAATGGAAACCTGGTGATCCATAACACGCGTGTGGCAGACATCTGCTCGGGGGTAATGTGGTGGTAATGTACATATCGATGATCAATCTGCGGATTTGCAAGAGAGGCATAAAGTATTTAATTATAATTGCATTGGGCCAGGCTGTGTGGTGGCAGCGACATTTGAATAGGTCACAGCCAGCCCTCACCCCTGTTATGTTGTCGGTATTAAATGCCATTCACTCTAGAGGCTGGGAACACTTCTGAAGTCGTAGGATATCACACACTGGCAAATTGAAAATGTCCCTTCGCTTTTAAAAACATGATTGATATCCTTTGCAAAACAAATGCTACACTTCAGAGTACACAGATTTTGACTGGTGTGGCCCATTTGCCTCATTTGGCTACCAAGTTGGCATTTGTCCATGTGTGCAGAGAAGATGGGTCACTAAGAACTCTCACTCAGAGGGCCACTAAGAACTCTCTCAGAGGCTGAGGCCTTCAAAGACAACCTGTCCTTCTTTGGGCAAAGGGCTTTGCCTTTTCAAATCAGACTTTGCTAACTAGAATGAAATGCAGGAATAATACAAGATCCCAAAAGATAAAATGCAAATTTTATTTGCTCAGTTGGTTACAGAAAAATATATCTTCAGATACTCTCTATGCCATACACTATGTATAGTACCATCTGTGCCTTATCACCATCTAAATTATTTCTAGTATAACTTAAATCAATTCTTTTAGCACATCCGACAAAGGGATATAAATAACAGGAATGCAGACAGACACAGGACACATACCAGCAACACACATGTGCACTTGGCCCTTCCGACAACCCAGACCAGTCAGAGGAAGGGGCCAGCAGGGGGCTTCATCCCTGTGCAGTTCCCACCCATAAAATGGCATAGGAGTGACAGCAGCCAGCTCCCAGGGCCTGGGGGATGCCGGGAGGTGGCGTGTCCTGGCTGAGGTCATCCTGGCTGGCTGGGGAGCCTCATGTGTAAGCCAGCAGAGGTCTGGGAATAGCAGTAGCACTTGCAGAGGAGAGGCCTCATTCTCAGGTCTTGTTTCTGCTTTCAGGAAAGGGCATTTGAGGCTGGCTCCCTCTCTTCCTGCTGGGCCAAGGGCGGCTCCTGGGCTCAGGCTGCCATTGGCAGGGCCTGGTGACCAAAGGAGCAGGCATCTCACTAGTTTTCAATGTAGAGTAGGAGCCCAGGCAGTTCACAACATCTGTCAGGAACACTTTCCCCTCTTCCCCAAACAAAGGCGCACACAGTCTCTATTTACAGGGAGGTGAGCAAAGGAGTACTTGGAACTAACAAAATGTCAGGCCTCTGAACAGAAACGCAGCCAGGTCCAGGCGGGCCTCACACGTGGCTCGGGTCTGCCTCAGCAGCCTGCCTGCCTTCATTACTCAGAGCCCATTTTTAAGAGAGTCCGATAATATACAAGACTATAATTCCCAATCCAGACAGCCAGCCTCTTTGGGTGTGTTTTTTTGCCGTTCACAAAATTAGCCAATCATTGTCACCTAGCGAATCCGATTAGGTGTAATCCATACTAATGTTCAAATTAAGTCACAGAAAGCAATTAACTCTGCGAAAATGGGCTGGTGAAAAATGATAAGGTTGGTCAAATAGTTTCACTGTGCATAATTGTGTTTTTAAAACTGCCTGTCTCTACACAGTAATTAAATCATTTACATTTCAAATGGAGTGTGCCCAGCTTGGATGCTTGGCTCTGCACCTCAGTGTGTGGGGCTCTACCAACAGTTTGCTGTCCACGCCTGCATTTCTGGGAAGCCAGCTGGTGCCCAAGCAGGAGTGGATTCCTGCTCAGAAGAACTGGCTTTGCCCAGTGCCCTCCCAAATTTGGGCCCCTCCCACCCTTCCTTTCTTCTTTCCCATATTTGTATTTGTGCAAGGGGCTTTTAAAACCATCATCAAAACATTGCTGACAACACAAGACACATCTGTTACTTCTGATCCTATTAGCCCAAACACAGGGCATCAGGAATGTGGGGTCATTATTGTTCATGGGGATCAGTAAATGTCTGTCTTCATCTTTTTTTTACCTTATTATTTTTACCTACAGGGAGGTGTTAGCCAACTTCACTGACTGCTTACTGAGCACACACCAGTTCTAAAACACCTCACCAGGAATGAACTGCTATGTGGCTCCAGGGAATGTTCCCTGCATTCTCCCCCTGGAACTGAAATCTGAAAAATCCACAAGCAAACTCCAAAGTCAAACTGGACCCAAGAGGGTTGTTCCTGCTGGGGAACTTTTCTCTGAACGGATAAAGTCACTTCACAGTAAGCAGCTCTCCTCAGGCGGTCTTCCGCCTTTGCCTCCAACCCAGGAACTCAGGGTCCGACTGGGGAGAAAGTTCAAAGTTCGTGGCAATCCGCAATCAGGGGGCTTCATGGCTCAAGGTGGGGCTGAGACCTGCTTCCTGGGGAGAAACTAACCCAAGACCCCAGGCTAATTCTGCAGTGGCCACCAGGAAGCAACCTCAGTCTCATCTTTCACTGCCTCCAAAGTGGAGGTTCATTTGCTGGGGCTCCAGCGGGGGAAGCTCCCCTCCTGCATGAGACAGGGAGCCCTGAGCCCTGGAAAAGGGTCTGGAGAGGACAGGATGTAGTCGATGCTGAACTTGATGTCTCTGTGGCCCTCTTTTCCCAGGGCGGCAGGGCCGGCGGGGGCCAGGGCCTCGCGGCCCAGGGCAGGCGCTCCGTCTGGGGCCGGAGACCCGCGCGCGGCGGGTTCAGATGGACCCAGGGACCCCTCAGCGGCCTCAGTGCGTAGTGTCCTAAGGCCCTCTCGCTTGGGGCCGCGTCGCCGGCGCCGCCGGCGGAAGTTGCCGTTCTCGAAGAGGTCCAGCAGCGACTCGCAGCCGCCTGCAAACGTCCAGTAGTTGCCCTTTCCCTTCTCATGGCCCTCGGTCCTCGGCACCTGCGCAGAGCCGGGGTCAGTGCGCTCGACGGACCTGCAAGGCGCCGCTGGCCCTTCGGGGTAGCCTTGCTTGCCCGCAGGCTGGGGCCCCCTACCTCTGAGCAGGAGCTTCCCAACAGCTCCAGTCACCAAGGGATGACTGGCCCGAGTGTCGCCATGGCTGGGCACACAGGGGTCACTCGGGGGGCGTTCGCGACGGGGATGGGGTAAGGCTCACCTTGACGAAGCAGCTGTTGAGCGACAGGTTGTGGCGGATGGAGTTCTGCCAGGCACGCTGGTTGGCGCGGTAGTAAGGGAACTTGCGCATGATGAAGTCATAGATGCCCGACAGGGTCACCCTGCCCGCGGGGCTCTGCTGGATGGCCATGGCGATCAGCGCGATGTAGCTGCGGACGGGGCGTCAGGCAAGCGGGCGCCGGGCAGGGCGCGGGGAGCCAGGCAGCCTTCCCGCCCGGTGGGCGAGGCCGACTGCTCCGCCTCCCCAGGCAGCCAACGCGGGGTTGGAGGGGGAAAGGGAAGCGCTGTCCTGGCTGGAGACCCCGTGCTCACAGCTCTGGCTTCCACCCAGACCCTGGGACCTCTCCTGCACGCGGGGTCCCGCCAGGTGGGAGATCCAAGCTGCTTTCTCGGCTACCCCCGCAAAGTGCGCCTGGTGCGTTCTCTCCCAGAGCCCGCCCCAGGGAAGAAAGCCCCTCTCTCCCTCCATCCCGGACAGTCTCCGGCTTCGGAGCCCCTAGCTGTCCCCAGAGCCCCGCCACCGGCCCCCTCAGGCACCTGTACGCGGGCCGCGTGAGCCGCTTTTCCTCGTCTGAGCTGCCGGCGGGGTAGTCGTCGGCGTCGTAGTTGAAGCAATTGTAGGGGTACTGCGAGCTGTCAAACATCCTGGCGCTCTCCGCGCCCGGGGGCCGCCGCCGCCGCCGCCGCCGCTGCTGCCGCCGCCTCCTCCGCGCCGCCCACCGGCCCCCAGTTCTGCACTGGGTCCTCCCGGGCTGGGCACGGGCCAGCAGCGTCTGCACGGAAGCGACTGGGAGCCTGGGCTTCTGGGGACCCCCCGCGCACGCCCCCACCCGGTTCTCTGGCGTCCAATCCTGGTGCGGGGGTGGCCCCAGTCACCGGCAGAGCGGGAAGCACAGCCGGGCTGTCTAGGCGACCCTCTGACCCGCTGAGGGAGGAGGGAGAGAGAAGGCGTGTTGGGTGGTCCGATGCACTGGGCGCCCACCCGCCTTCACTCCCCAACCCGCACGATTTGGAGGCTCAACCGGGATAGTACCCCGGAGCTGGAGTTGGGGACTCTCAGGTCGCGCTGCTGGGTAGCTTGTGTAGTGGGTACTCCCTGAGACTTGGAGATCGTTCCAGTGGTCATGGACTCTCAGCAGAGCCCACGGCCAGGGGCACGACCACAAAAAGCTGGGCAGATGCCCCCTTGGCTGCCCACAATGGGGTCCAGGGCTGATCTGTGGGGCTCATTGAGTATCCCTGGCTTGGGCACTGCGTTAGGGAGAGCATGGGTGGAGATAAAGGGTCCAGTGTCTCTTCCAGAGCAGGATGCCCTTGCATCACTGTCCATCCCTGCCAGAAGTGGCCTTCTCCAGGGGCCCTCCTTACTTGGGGCCCACAGTCTGGGGAGGTGGGCCTTTCATTTGAAGAACCTCCCTTGAGCTGGTGCTTCTAGCTCCAAAGCTCTGGTTTCAGAGTGCATAGGTGATTGCAGAAGATACAAACCCGGGAGGAAAGAAGTAGGACATTAGTGGGCATGCTTCCCAAAAATCTGCAGAAGTCTGACTGAGAACCTCCTTCAGAACAGCACCTTGAGCTCTGAAACACCCATGCTCCTTCCAGCTAATCACTCCAGGAGCAGCCAGTGCCTCTGACACCCTGGCTCCCAGCAGCTGGAGGTCCTGCTTGTAGAAGCCCAGGTACACCAGGGCTCCTAACCACTGGGGTGGACATGCAGTTGTCACTGGGGTAAGCAGCTATCTGGCTTCTGCTCAGTCCTAAGTCACAGTCAACAATTAATGGCATTGTCCTCTCCATTAGATGTCAGAATTTGGGAATATAAAATTGCACAGCCCTGCTCAAAAACAGTTTGGTAAGTTTCTTTAAAAACTAAACATGCAGCCAGGCATGCCCATGCACACTTGTAATCCAGGACTTGGGATGCTGAAGTAGAAGGATCACAAATTCAAAGCCATCTTATGCAGTTTAGCGAGATCCTGTCTCAAAATAAAAAAAATGAAAAGGGCTAGAGGTGTAGCTCAGTGGTCAAGAGCCCCTGGATTCAATCCTTACCACTGCAAAATCGAGGAAACAAACAATAGCCCCTACCCAAAAAAGTCCTAAATATGCAACTATAGGACCTGCTGGTTGCACTCCTGGATCCTCAACCCAGAGGGCTCCCAGGTCAAGGTCACACAGAAACCTGCACACCAATGCTCAGAGAAGTTTTACTTGCATTATCCCCAAACAAGAAAAAAAGCAGATGTTCTTTTTTTTAATTTTTAAATTGATTTTTAAAAGATAAATGACAGTGAAATGCATTACAATTTGATGTTCTTTTTTAAAAAAAATATATATCTTTTTAGCTGTTGATGGATCTTTATTTATTTATATTCAGTGCTGAGAATTGAGCCCAGGGCCTCACACATGTTAGGCAAGCACTCTACCACTGAGCCACAACCCCAGCCTAAGGAGATGTTCTTAAACAGATGAATGGTTAGGTGAACAGTGGCACATCCATACCATGGGATAAGACTCAACAATAAAAAGAAGGAACTATCCATTTGCTCATCCACTAGGTGGATCTCCACAGATCAACCTCAAAGGGTTTCACACTTTACAATTCCACTTGTATAACATGCATGAACCCAGGTAGAAGCTGACATGACCTGGCTTCACCCCACAGTGCCTCCTCTCCAGCACAGGCTCACACAGGGGGAAGAGGAGAATGCAGACTGACCCAAAGGGAGGAGTGTAAGGTCATATTGTGAGGAGGGCAGGTGGCATGGGTGGTGCTGTGCAGCTGTCCTTGAAGAGATGGTGATGCAGCTGTATGTGGAATATCAGAGGCTATCGAGGACCTCTGATCTCTGCTGAAGAATCAGATCAGTGGAAAGGCTGTCACCGTCCTTCAACTGCTGGGACACCCAGGGTGGGCTGCAGAAGCACAGGTTCTCCTGAGCCCACCAAGGCAATGGCTGCTGGGCAAGGAGCCATATATGGGGAGGGTAGGCATGTCTCAGAGAGGCCCAGCACCTGCTTCCTTGCAGTGGGCCACCCCAAGGGCAGGAAGAAGAAGCAGTTGGACTCAGCCTGTCAGTGGATTGCTCAGAGTGGATAAGGTCAAGTATGGCCAGCAGTGTGTGTGTGTGTGTGTGTGTGTGGGGGGCACCAGGGAGCTCACACACAGCAGTGCCCCCTCCCCGACTCCCCACCCCAGGGATGCTCAAGGGATATGGGTTTGGGGGAGTGGAAGGAGGCTGGTCAGGCTGAGGGAACAGAATTGTCCCATCCCCTCTGTCCCCCGAATCCAGAGGAAAGGGCAAAGGGGCAGGGATGGGGCAGCTGCCTGGGAAGGGGCTGGAAGAACCCCTTCCTGGAGGGAGGAGTTGGTGCTGAGCCAAACAGTGGAGGCAGCTGCCCAGGAGGGAGGGGGAGAAGGAGGCTCACTCCCACCCCCCAGGACCCCACCTAAGAAACCCCGGACCAGAGACTGCTCCGAGTTGGAGGAGCAAGGAACAGCCAGCCCCACCCGTGGCTCGTGATGTCATCAAGTGTTCAGTAAAAGTCACTGCCCTCTGCTACCTGCAAGGCTATGGAGAGGAGGAAGTAGTGGCTGATGGGGAGCTGACAGGGGAAGACCTGGGCAAGGTGGCTTCTCTCCGCACAGAGTGCCCAGAGAGCAGCCCAGGGTGGAATCTGACACTAACGCCCCCTGGTGGTGAGGACCGTGCAGTGGGGGCGATTAGTGGCCGGATGGAGCGTCAGTTCCATGTTGGTACCATCCCGCAAGAAAAGCCCGTTTGCAGCCCCAAATTCACAAGACACTTAAGGGAATAAAACCAACGCGTTCTTAAGAGAGTTCCAGCAGAGCTGGACTCATGCAGGAGATAAGCATGGAGTCACCCACAGGTAACTGAAAGTCACCGTGAGTGGTGCACAGCAGAGAAGCTACTTGCTCCCGCAGAGAGCACCCTCAGCAGAGACGTGGAAACCACGGAAAAGAACAAATGTCCTAAGTAAAACTGTGACAGAGGAAATGGCCTCGGGCTCCTTGAGTGAGTGAATGTGAGGGTCGGTCACTGGGACTCCCCAGATGGAAAGGCAAGACCGAAAGAGAGGGGGGGACACAGGGAGTGTGCTGAGGACATGTTGGGAGAGGGACAGGTCCAGCAGGAGGGGAGCAGCAGAGAACAGGGTGAGGAAAGCTTGATGGCTAGAAATTTCTAGAACCAATGAAAGGCACCCCCTAGGTAGCAAGCTCAGAGAAGGAGTCCCTTCATCCACCCCACCCCCAGACAAAACCAAACTCAAAAGGAGTCAGACCTGAGTGTGAACCTTCAAACTATGAAGCTGCTAGAATGATCATTGGCTAGGCAAACGTATCTTTGATTTGGCAGCAAAAAACATGATACATACAAGAAAAAATGGCTGGACTGCGTGTCAAACCCGTCAGAGCTCCTTGTCCCTGAGGAATTAAAAGGTGAACACAGGGCAGGAGGTTATTTGCAAAGCAAACAACCCAAACTTGAAGATGGCTCTTCATCCAAGAAAAATACAGATGGCAAATAAGCACTTGGAAAATACATCCAATACCATTAGGTAGGAGGGAAATGTAAACTAAAATAACAAGATACTGCACCCGTTTATTAGAATGGCTAAACACACACACACACACACACACACACACCTCACACCAGGCAGTTTTATGTGTCCATCTGGCTGACCAGGGACCAGATATCTGATCAGACACTATTCTGAGTGTGTCTGTGAGAGAGTCCTCTGACAAGACCAACATTTGAATGAGTGGATTTTGAGAAAAGCAGACAGCTATACAATGGGTGGGCCTCACCCAAGCAGTTGAAGGCCAGACCCGTGGGTGGGGGTGAGTCTCCACATTTAGTGGATCAGTGCCTTAAATTCTCTCCCCCAATTTCTGCACACGTGTGTGTACACACATACACACACACACACACACACATTCTGATTCTGTTTCTCTGGAGAACTTAACCACCTGTCAGGTGCCAGTGTGATGGGAAGCAGCCTGGACTCTCATTCTTTAGGGTGAGGGTGCAGTTTCTTCATGTCACATAGGCATTTGCACCTGGCCAGCCACCACTTCTAGGTGTTTACATGTCAAACGCAAGCCTGTGTTTACGTGGAGAGTCTTCCTGTGAGTTTATGTGCTTTGGTGACCTTATTTGTTGTTACTAAATCCTACAAAGAATCCACAGTTTCTGGGAATAGATGAGCTGCCGTGGGCCCATCCTGTGGAGTACTACTCAGCAGTGAATAGGAAACCCCGCCACTCCTTATTGTCCCAAACTCATGTTGCTGAGTAAAAGAAGCAAAAGACTCAAAATTCCCATTGTGTGGTGCTGTGCCAGGCAAAGCCATAGAACACAAACCTCCTGTTGGCTGCAGGGCTGGAGTGGGGGGTTGGGAATTGAATGGCTGAGCACCGGTCAGAGCTCATTGTCCCTGGGCAGCATGGATATCAGCGTCCACATTGTCTTATCTGAGAACCTGGAGACCTTGGAGAAGAGTTGCTGTGTCACACCATTAGGCCAGACCCCACTGAAGACAAAATCAGGAAGCTGGTCCACCACCGTGCTGAACACAGCGGCTCAGGATGCACAGCACACACACAGAGGGCCAGGGAGGA